CCCCTGCCCCCGTGTATATGGCAGACACTGTTTCACTCGGCTGTATCCGCCATCGTCTCTGTCACAATCACTACAATGACATGGTTTCTGCATATGTGTGCAGAGGACTGTCCCTCCGTTCCTGACTGCAGGCACCCTCCTCATCCGGACATTATATGTCCATTTTGCGGCCATGGCCGCTATACTGAATGCATGTTCTTTTATGGTGACCATTCTTCCTTCATTTTGGCCCGCAATGGACATGCCATTTGTCGGGGGTGTATGGTGGGCATGCTCAATGCCAGCTGGCATGGCAATTGTTGCACTGAGAATGCTCAGCTAGGTCTTCCATGTGTTCATCCACCCCATCCTTACAATGTATGTCCTCACTGTCGTCATGGACAGACTCATTCTTGAGCCTTTTCTTATCCTCTTTTGTCTTCATCTTCACTCCACACTCCGTACATTCCCTTACTTTCCCTTTATCGTTCTTTGTTTGTCTTCTCTCCACCTCTCCTCCCTGTGTTTATCCCCTCCCCCTTCACTCTGCCTCTTTCTCACAGCGTATAAGTTGGCTGTTATGGCACACGGGGATGGGGGCAGCTCGCCCTCAACTTCATCAACATGGCGAGCCTTGTACGTGAGAGGCACAGTATAGGGGGAGTTAAAAGAAGAATGAAAAATTTAATGGTTTCAATGTGCCCTTGTTTTTTGTTTTTTAACCTTTCTTTTGCAAAGTGCACTCTTTTAGCTCATAGCTATGTGACAATATATATGGCACTTAATGGCAGTAGATATCGTCATAGTATGTATACAGTACATGAAAAAAATGAATGGTTTCAGTGTTCTCTTCATGTTTGTCTTGTCCATTTTTATTTTTGTCATTTGTTTTGCAAAGTGCGCTCTTTTAGTTCATAGATACACACTGCTTCAGCCATAACAGCACACTTGCAAGCTGTAAGAAAAATGACAGAGTAACGACAGACCGACAGAGGGGAGATGGAGCATGGGAAGACAAAGGGGAAGCAGTATGGAGGTAAGCACAGTGTGTACTGGCAAAATGCTCGGTCTTTGCAGTAGCCGCCCCCCCCCTCCCGCCCCCCCCCAAACAGAGGCCCCACCTTACTCCCTGACTCCCTGACCACCGCCGATTAGGGAGGGGGCCAACATGCATCCCATTAATTGTGAGAGGTAGCTATGATTGCAGGCATCCCCTGTATAGGCTTAGAAGTAGTGGCAGGTAGATAGTGAAAGGTGAAAATTGAGAGAAGAATACAACTTTGCAAGGAAAATGAACAGAAGCGAGATGACAATATTCAGGTTGCACAATCACATTGAAAGCCAGATCGTACCAATGGAGAATCGTAGCACTGAAAACCAATGTCAATGAGAGCTTGCTCTCGCCACCACCAACATATGTATCCAGTCCCTGTCTCCCTACTTGGCGCTCGGCGCCCAGCCTACTCCCTACACAGCTACTACTAGCCTACTAATTGACAATGCAACTGTTGACGTCAGCAGCCTCCGAAGTACTTGAAGATGTCGCCCATGCAGACCATCGCCAATACCAGGTATGTGCCCTCACATCATCATCATCATCATCCTTCTCTCTCTCTCCCTTGTCTTTCTCCCACGTCTTCCCTTTGTACACCCGAAGACCACCCCTGCGCCTCACTGTACATCCAAGCCCTGCCAGCTATGGAGGCTGGGCTATGGCGCTGCCCTCAGCAGCGCCCTGCTCCCTGCACGACCGCACGTGCTCGCACCTCGCCTCTCAGTGCTAGCAGCAGCCCACGAGCTTCAGCTCCAGCAGCGCTGCCGCCAGCATGCGAGTGCCGGAATGAGGCTCCAGGCAGCGAGCTCTTTCCTATATGGAAAGAGTCTGCCTGGCTTCGCAGCCTGGCTGGCCTGGGCCTGGGCCCAGAAGCTTCCGGTAGGCCCCAGGATGCTGCGCCTCTGGTGCACCTACTGGGCCTCATTCAGTTGGGCCTCTCAACTGTCTGTGTATGAGAATGCCAATCTCACCCAGGGCCTGCACTTTCGGAAAAGCCTAGAAGGCCGTGGAATTTCCTTCCTGCTTGGCCTGTGTTTTCTCAACCAACTGGCGGGACGAAACTGCCTGGACCCCAAATACGAATTTGACAGCTTAGGGCCTCTGGTGATTTGTTAGGCCCGCCTTCACTTAGGGCGGGCACATTTGCTGCAGGGGGGCCCTTAGGCCTGCCGAGGACCCATATCCTCACATTCCCTCCTTTTTTTTGATAGTCCTCTGAGAAGTCCTTATGTAGCAGGCTGCTTCCCTTTCAACTTTTTCTTGTAACTGGAGATAATTTGGGAAGCAGTCTTCATTAATTCCTCTTTTGTGAACCACCGGTCTTGTTGAGGATCAATGTGATGTCTGAACCGCACCCGGTATTGCATCTGTGGCTTTGGCAGTCGGCCCCTTCCTGGAGGTTTAGGTACAGGCATCAGCTTGTGCTCGATGATATCGTCAATGTCCACGTGTCCATCCGTGGTTGGGGGCAGCATTGATCTCCTGGACGGAAACTGATCTGTGGCAGCGAAAGGTGCCAACTTGGATGCATGGAAAACAGGGTAAGTACGCAAGTGTGCAGGAATGCGAATCACATATGAAGGCCCGTCCGGTTGATCCCCTACAATGTTTTTTTTTTTTTTTCGCTGGGGGGAAAGCTCCATCTATCGGTGGGGAGCGTCACCTGCTGGAAAGCGGGTCCAGCGTCCCATATGCATAGTGAAAATACAGACTGAAGTAGAGAAAACCCTGCCAACATTGATTGCTCTGGGGTCCAGAGGATTAACTGAGCAGGTTGTATCGGGACAGGAACCTCTTCGCCCCATGCCAGGCGCCAGATATGTGCTGCTACCAACTGGTTCCCTTCTCCGAATGAGGAGATCCTCTACAATGTCTAAGATCTCCCAGGGCCCAAAGTACTGTGGCATCAGTTTTTGTGAAATCCCCATCTCCTGATCCAGTTCAGATGACTTTACCCAGACTCTATCACCTACCTGAAAGTAAGAGGGCCGTCTATGTTTATTCTCAGATGCGATCATAGCATCCTGAGACTTTCTAATATGTTCAACGGCCTGCTGCAGCATCTGTTCATACTTGACAGCAAACTCTATGCTGCCAGGTGCTGCGGTGGTTGCCTTTCTGGTAGCAAAAAGTCAAGTGCAGTTCTGGGCTTCCAACCAAGATGTAGTTGGTTGGGAGTCATACCAGTAGTACTGTGCACAGCATTGTTGTACAACGAGAGGTAACTTCTCGTCCCAGTCATCCTGACTTGGCTTAATATAATGCCGAAGCAGGTGCTGTACTACCCGGTTCATCTGTTCTGCCTGGCCATTTGACTCAGGGTGATTCCCTGACGTCATTTGCAGCTTTATGCCCATCTGTTCCGTTGTTGATTGCCACAGTTCGCTGGTAAAGCGGACATCCCTATCACTGAAAATGGACTTTGGCAAACCAAAGTCCCGTACCTAGTTATCCCTGAACAGACTGATGACATAGTCAGTTTTGGCAGTTTCAGGCATAGCGATAAGTCTTGCATACTTTGAAAAACGGTCTACTATCACGAAGATGTGCCTTTTTCGAGACCTGCTGGTCACAAGAGTATCCATGAAGTCCATGGACACACTCTGACTAGGACCTTCAGGAATCGGCAAGGGCTTGATGAGCCCAAGCGGAGCCTGAGTCCTAGGTTTATCCGTTTGGCAAACATGGCAAGTTCCGATGTACTTTTTTGCATCTTCCATCATAGTTGGCCACCAAATTTTCTGCACTAAGTTAGCTGAAGTCTTTGTATAACCAAAATGTCCAGTTGCATCGTGACACTTACCTAGAAATAAACTATGCAAAGACTCAGTATTTGGAACACATAATCTTTTATTCCCTGCCTTCTCAAGAAACAGCAAGCCGTCTACCATCGTAAATTCATCCAAGGTCTTGTTGTCCTTCGCTTGGAATCTACGGATGATCTCAGACATAACTGGATCTTGCTGGTAGGCTTCCACAAATGATCTAGTTAAGTCGTTGGATCTGCCAAATTCAGTCACTAGTGCGCCGAGATAATCTACCCGACGAGATACTGCGTCAGCTACTTTGTTGTACTCACCCTTGATTGGATCAAGTTGATAGTCATACATGTCTATCACTTGTATCCATCGCTCGAGTGCGTCGGAGAGTACCAGTTGGGTCCTAACCCAACGCAAGGTCTCATGGTCAGATCTCACATAGAAGAATCTGCCAAGGAGATAGTGTCTCCAATGTACCAGCGCTCTATACAGGGCATAGAGCTCATGCTCATAAGTGGACTTGGCTAGTTTCTGAGATGACATCTTCTTACTCATGTACTCGATAGGTCTCAACTTGGGCCCCTCCTTTTGCGCAAGGACCGCGCCTATGCCATATTGGCTGGCGTCTGTGGTCACGATAAATGGCTTATCAGGATCGGGAAGTTAAGAACCCCATAGTGTGTCAGAGCATACTTCAATTTCCTTAAGGCCGCCTCACACTGTTCAGTCCACTCCCAAGGGGTGTCAAGTCGAGTTAAATCTGTTAATGGGGAAGCTATAGTACTATAGTCCTTTACAAACGGACGATAGTAGCCCGTCATCCCCAAAAATGATCTGACCTCGGTAACAATCTG